ACTTACTAGAAGGGAACCTATTAAGAGGACACAGGCATTATAATCTCAAGATCCATCCATGTTGTCGCAAATGGCACTATTTCATCTTTTCTTATGGCAAAATAGTAATAAAACTGAAAACAACAAAAAAAAACAAGAAAAAAAATAAAGAAATAAAAACTCATAGACACAGACAATAGTTTAATGGTTACCAGGGGTAAGGGGGGAGAAGGGTGGTAGATGAGGGTAAAGGGGATCAATATACGGTAATGGAAGGAGAATTGACTCTGGGTGGTGAACACACAATGTGATATATAGGTGATGTATTACAGAATTGTACACCTGAAATCTATATGTAATTTTGCTAACAATTGTCACCCCAATAAGCTTTACTTAAAAAAAAAAAGAGGACACAGCTTCCCCCGCAGTACAGGAGGCAAAGCCTGACAGCAGGGTAGAGGCAGCAAAGGGCCATGATGTTTGGAGTCCAAGCTCTAGGCTGTCCACCTGCTCTGCCCCTAGGCCATCACCTTATGCTTAGTCATCTCAGAAAGACTACTTAAGCTCAGCATACTCTGTGTGAGAAAGCAGAGGAAATAAATAGGATACATTTTTTTTTTAAAGTTTGGGATTTCAGTGGTTAGCTTTAATTATTGGGTTGCCGGAAAAGTCATGACATATTTTTTCTATGTTTTTCATTGCAAAAATGTGTCATGACTTTTCCGACAACCCAATATTTTAAAACTTAGAATGCTCTCTAAGTGAGGCTGGATAAATGAGGTTTTATTGCACCCACTTATTTTCTGATTATTTTTGCAAGCAATGACAGAAAGTAAAACAGATGTGTGAAGCCACAGGCTCCTAAGACTGGGGAAGAAAATTGATGTGATAAAATGCAAATGCTTGTTTTAAAGGTGAGCTGTTTCCTAATGAGGCCCCAGAGTGCAGTGGTTAAGGGTCCAGGCCAAGGGTCTGACTGTGAGCATTGAAACCAGGCTTTTCCTCTTAGGTGTGTGTGCCCTTCAGTAAATGCCTCAATTTCCTCACCTATAAAATGGGTATAGTAAAATCTGATAGGATGGTTGTGGAGATTAAATGCAGTAATACTTGTAAGCGTTGACATCAGTGGGAACCATCAAGTCTTCCTTGGCTAATGTCATTTTTAACCCATCTCCCTCTGTTGCATTCTTTACTCTTCACTGATGTCCGAGGAAGGCAGAGGGCTGAGCTGAACACGTTAAAATGCATGCTTAGCAAACACTTTTGATCTCCAGAGCGCAGGAGGTAGAGATTTCACTTCAGTACTGAGGCTTTGGCTCTCTTTTGCTATGGTTGGTATAGTTTTATTAGTAGTGATCAGGCTGCTTCCAAAATATCTCTTGTGTTGTATTAACTGAAGAAGAAAAGAAGTTAAGATTTTTTCTCCGTTTCCCTTGTTTTGTTACTTGATATGCTCATGTGGTATAGAGTTCATTGAGGTAATCCGAGGTACACAGTGGCTGTGATGTGACACCCTCCACCGCCACTGGAGTTGAGGATGAGTGAGGTGGGGCCAGGAGGGGGGGTTATGGCAGATACAGAAGCCCAGAACCCCAGTTCCATGATGTAGATCTTGTACCGAATTTCAATGAACATTATGTCCTACATGAGGAAATGAAATGATGGAGTGTTTAAAATCTAGAACAGCGTTGGGGAAATGGCATGGCTTTTTTTTTCATTTTCTGATTGGTGTGAAACGTTGGGTTGTTTCTTCTGCAAGGTGAATCGGAAAGTCTTGGTAGGAATGTGACTTCCCCCGCCGCTTGGAGGGGAGTATGTGATTTGTTTGCCAAGGGCCCTGGTAGCCTTCAATCTGTCAAAACGTTGCAAGCTGGGAGCAGTTTGCCAAAGCAAACTATCAAAGTGAAATAACACATGAATTGCACACACGCAGACACACACATGCGCTCGCATTCCCCAAACATTAATTTTGAATTGGGTCAGGAGGAACAAGGATTTGGGCTAGATTGCCGGTGTTTTGAAGAGGTGTGGGCACAGCTACAGACTACCAATTAGATAGGTATGTGTGAGCAGGGTGGGGTATCCCCCAAACAGAGTCTACTGAGCAGGGGTGGGAACCTTTCAGCCCTTGGCAGAGTTTCTTCTGGCCCCTGGGGTTATATATTGCTTTGGCTGCTGTTATTGTAGCCAAAGAATAATTTCTCCTCTGGGGGAATTTATTCTATTCCATTCAAAGCAGAGCCCATTTAATAACTAAGATTTTATTCTAGAATGAGTTTACTGGGTACCCCTATGCATTTTAGCCTCACTAGGGCCCAACTCAATGAAGAAGAGAAGCATTTGAACATGTAAATACAACTCGTGTTGCATTTTTGCAGCAAGGGGCACCAACAGACATTTTGATGCCATACGTCATGTCAGTCCTATGAGACTGAATTTGGGGGCATCACGTAGAAATTCAAAAGCAAGGCTGATTTTTATAAATCTCTCATAAAAGAACTTTTCAAAGCTCCCACAGTTACTTTAGACATTTTTGGATATGCTAATTCACACTGTTTCCCCTTATCTTGACATTTCAAAGATACAGCATCATTCATTAACTCAATAAATTAAACTCTTACTGCAGAGGGTGCCAAAAAAATGCATACACATTTTAATAAAGGAAAAAAATCATAATACTCAATGTATACTGATAACAAAAGATGAATACAAGTCATGTGTATACATTTTTTTTGGCACCCCTGGTATATAGCAGACACTCTGCTAGATGCTGAGAGATAAAATAGTAAAAAAACAAACTCCCTGATCTCACGGAGGTTATATTCTAATGGGTAGAAGGTGAAATTTAAGTGAATAAAGACCTAGCCTGTGAGATACTAAGTGCTATGGAGAGAAGTAAATAGGCGAGGCTGGGAGAGGGAGTGCTGATTTTATAGGGTCAGGGAAGCTTTAGGGGAAGGGACTTTGGGCAGACACCTGAAGGAGGTGAAGGAACAAGCTGTAGAAATACCTGGAATGCAGTTCCTCTGAGACAGAGAAAAACCTAGACTCTTCTCTCTTCCAATCTTCCATCCCTCTCCTGCCCTGAGTCCCCCTGAATGTTATGGAAATGCCACCTGAGATGAGTAGTAGTGCACACTGCTCCTGGTTGTATTACAGATATGTGGCTCAGGTGTCTGCCACAACTTTAGGGGCTGAGGTGTAACACATGTATGGAGCTGCTGCTTGTTTTTTTTAACAAAACCACACCAAGTTGGTTTTTCATTTTTTTTTAAGTGAGTAAACAATGCCACAATGTGATACAAATGGTTCAGATTTGTAGGCATCGTTCCTAACATGCTTTCTCGCACATTCACTCATTTGAGGTCAGCAGGGCAGGGGATATTATTCCATTTTACAGATGAGGAAATTGAGGCACAGTGGTGATTTGCCGAAGGTCATGTAACCAAGGAGTATAGCCTCCTGAGTCATGGTGAACGTGTTCCTTGGTTTAGAGGCTAAACCGGATCCAGTAAGGACACAACTGGAAAAAAAGCTGTTCGTTTTCCACCACTGTGTTCCCACCCACTCCTTGAGATGCCCCTGCCCCATCGCTGGAAGATATCTTGGGCAGGGAGCACCCCCTTTTCCAGTCCTGAATAGATGTGCAGCCCTTCTCTTTGGAATGTATGCGTATGGAATACCCTTGGTCCTCTGCTTTGAGGTCTCAGCTATAGCTCTAAGACAATAGAAAGGATGCATTTAACACCCGGTTACATGTCCCTTCACCCTCCTTCTTGTCCTAGCGCATAGCCCCTAACCCGTGTGTCCAAGTCCATTCCACGTAGTCTGCTAGGGCCGGGCTCATTTCCGTGCAAAATGGGGTTAGGGTGGAATTTAGAATTCTTAGAGATGGCGGGAGCCTTTTCTAACTCTACAAGCCTTAAACCCACATTCAGACAGGTTTCCTCATCTCCACCTCCACACGGTGCATTTTTCTTGGACACGGCAGTGTTTCTTATCTCTTGGTTATGTTGGAGGCCTCAACAAGGTTGAGAACCACTGGGTTGCTTAACTTCTGCCCTCAGGGTTAAACCCTAGGAAAGGATTCAAAAGACAGCTAGGTAGGACTTCTTTCAGGGATGCTTAAATGCCATCGATGATTTGAAATCAAGGGACTTCAGGCGTTTAAATTACTTGACAAGACTTGTCGCCTGTGACTGAGTATGCTGGGCATTTTCACCTCTGCCATCCTCACTGATCCTGACAGAAGATGAGAACATTGAGGCACAGAGATGTTAGCTTACCTAGGATGCCCCCCAAGGGAAGGGTGGAGCTGGGATTCTAGCCTAGATGTGTTTGAATCCAGAGTGTCGTGCTCTCCCAGCACACCCTGCCGTCTGTCTCGGGGCCAGCTGGCTCCTATTTCCACACCTTCCCTTTATTTGATGACAAGCCCTAATCATGGCTGGTGACAGTGGGGCTTAACACAGCTAATCCAGCCCACGGAGAACATATGTGACACCGAAGGGCCAAGGACAGGCAGAGGAAAGGTTCCGAGGAACGCCTGGGTGTGGGAGAGGAACTTCCCTGGCCAGGATCCAAATCCCCACTCTTAGCCGACCTTCCCAGCTCCATGAGGACCAAGCACACACTAGCACTTAGTCTGGGTCAGACATGGCACGTTATCTCATTCAGTCCTCCCCAAAGCTCCTAGGCAACATCCGTTGTTATCCCCATCTTCCTTCCTTAAAGGAGGAGACAAGGCTCAAAGAGGTTAACTGTTCTGACCTAGAAACCTTGCTGGTAAGCGGGAAAACTGTGCTTGATCCCAGATCTGCCCAATGCCACCGCCCAGCCCACAGCACTGTGCTGCCTCCCTGCCGTGGGCCAGCCCTTCACCTCTTCACTGGGTCACATCCCAGGGCCTGGGCTGGACTGTTCTCTCCCCTCCACTGATGAGATGGAGATGTGGCCTTCCACCACGTGCTGCTGCCTGGAACATACTCACAGCCCTGCCTGTTGCCATTTTCTCTTCTCAGTGTCCTGGGTTTCCTGCTGCTGCTTGGATTCCAGCTCGTCTGCCCACAGCCCTCCACTGAACACAGAAAGGTAAGCCATGGCCATTCAGAGGCTCTCCTCTGCGCAGGGGGCTGGGGTCACTCGAGTCGCCACCCTGGGTTTTGTTCTATTTGAAGGTGAGTCATTGCTGATTCCAAGAGGAAGCACAGTTTGTAGAATGTTCACCAGTTCTCCTATCGCTTCTAAGTCCTTGGAGCTTGAAGGTGAAGCTGGTGCCCAGAGTCAGTCTCTGATCAGAGAGCAGTGCGGGCTTTGCAGCCTGTGGCCGTTAGAATGGGGCAGTTAAGGGGAGGTCAGTGAGAAGACGCTGTACCTAGGAATGGTGGGGCGCCAGCATGGAGCTCTCTCCCCTCTAGGGGCACCTTCCGAGCAAGGGGTGCAGATGATTAGAGAGAGAGAGAGAGCTGTGACTGTGGCTATGCAAGAGGACCCCTGATAGGGACCATGGTCTTTGATAGAAGGACACTGCCACGGCCAACCAGTGGCCAGGCAGGGAGGGGGCAGGAAAATAAGGGCCTGGCCCTCTCTGTCCTCCTCCCGTCCATCTCCTGCGGCAACTGCCTTTAGCTGAACCTAACCAAAGACAGAAGACAAAAAGCCCTGCATGTAGCCCTTAAAGGTCAGCTTCCTGGGCCAAGGTGGCTTCAAAGGTGGCTGAAGAAGGGTGGACAGAGCATCTGGAGGGACAAATGGACAGGATCAAGCACACATCCCTTCAGGCTCTGTGTGTTTTATAGTAAATGAACTATTCACAGTTGCCTCAATAAGCCTAGTGCTGTCCTGCCACAGAGCAGGCGGGTAATCGATGTTTCCTTAAAAATAGATGCATGATGTGACTCCAAGAAGGTCTCCAAAATCCCTTTCTGCTACCTAGAAATACCTCATATTCTCATGTAATTAAATGTAGATACTTCTGAGAGGAATAATAGGTCAGCTGGTGTATCTACATGTGACTGAGTTGTTTGGAACCTTTTCTGAGACAGGGTTTTCATAGGGTGAGTCCAGGAGAGAAAGGAGTCAAGAAAACAGAGTGTGTATACAGGTTTGCCAAGATATGACCCTTCTTGGGAGAAGTTCTTGATGTTCTTGTCTGATTAGTCTAATTTCTTTTAGGTCTGTGGATTTTGTTTTGGCTTTGTTTTTCTGGGCCGAATATAAACCCATATTGTATTGTGCTTTCAGTCAGATGTCAGCTGCGTGACCTGTCTCTTGCACTGCCACATTCCCAGCTCCTGGAACACAGCATGGGATGTTGTAGGTGCTCAGTAACATACCTGATGAATGACTGAATGGATGGAAAACTTGGGCATGATCTAAACATCGTTATGTTGGACATTTACACCCCCTTACTCTACTGCATTGTCTCTATTCATAATTTCAAGAATCAGAGAGGACACCTACTATAGACTGAATGTTTGTGTCCTCCCCAAATTGATGTATTGAAACCTAACCCCCAGTGTGATGGTATTTGGAGGTGGTGCCTTTGGGTGGTGATCAGGTCATGGGAGTAAATGGAATCAGTACTCTTATTAGAATCATGAGAGAGCTTGCTGCTCTGCCATGTGAGGGGACAATGAGAAGTCAGCAGCCCAGAAGAAGGCACCATGCTGGCACTCTGATCTCAGACTTCCAGCCTCCAGAACTGTGAGAAATGCATTTGTGTTATCTATAAACCACCCAGTTTGGCACTTTGTTTTAGCAGCCCAAACTGACTAAGACCAAAAATGGCACTGAGCAGCTGGGTGGTTGCTGTAACAAACACCTAAAAGTATGGAGATGGCTTTAGAACTGGGCAATGGACAGAGGCCAGAAGGGTTTTGAGGTGCATGCTCGAAAAAGCCTGCATGGCTGTGAATGGTCTTTTAACGGGTAGTCTGATGAGAGCTGAGAAAGTCTTAGCTGTAGAGAAAGTCTTAGTCTTCTTGGAGAATACCAGAGTAATCCCAGACAGAATGTGGGTGGACATATGAATGGTAAGGACCATTCTGATGAGATCTCAGATGGAAATGAAGAACATGCTACTGGAAACTGGAGGAAAGGCCATGCTTGTGATAAAGTGGCAAAGAGCTTGGCTGAACTGTGTTTGTGTTCTAGTGTTTTGTGGAAGGTAGAACTTGCGAGCGATGAGATTAGATATTAGGTTGTCAGAAAAGTCATGACGCATTTTTGCAACAAAAAACATAGAAAAAATACGTCATGACTTTTCCGACAACCCAATAGCTGAAGAAATTTCTAAGCAAAGTGTTGAAGGAGTGGCCTGGTTTCTCTTGACTGCACATAGTAAAATGTGAGAAGAGAAAAATGACTTGAGGATGGAATTGTTCATTGGAAAGGAAGCAGAACATAGAACTTAATGATTTGGAAAATTCTCAGCACATTCATATTGAAAAGAATGAGAAAGCCTGTTTGGGAAAGAACACTAAGGGTGAGGTGGGGCGACCACTTGATAAGATTAGTCAGCCATCTTGACAGAAGCCTAGTTAAGACAATGGAAGAATGCAAAGGAGGGATGCTGGTGTCGTCTGGATCTGGCTCACCTCCGATACCACATCACTTGGTGGCACTAAGCTCCTCAGCTGCCCCAGGTGGTGCTCCAGTGGCTAGATGAGGTGTGGGCTCTGACAAGCAGAGCCTTGGGAGCATGGCTGCCTCCACCTAGATTTCAAAGGACGAGGTCTTCCAGCATAGTCCCGGTCCCAGGACACCAACCCTGGAGAACTGTGCTGGGGATGGGGCTGCCCAAAGCTGTGGGGGCAGGGCAGCCTGGAGCCTTGGGGCCCCAAGACCTGCCCAGCAAAGCTGAGGGCAGGACCACTGCTCCAGTGGGTATGGATGGCAGAGCATCGAGCCAAACAGGATTATTTTTGAGCCTTAAGGTCTAATGGAACTTGCCTTACTGGGTTTTAGACTTGCTTGGAACCTGTCTCTCCGTTTTTCTTTCCTCTTTCTCCCATTTGGATGGGAAATGTCATCCTGTGCCTGTCTCACCATTATATTTTGGAGGCACATACATGGTTCATTTCACAGTTTCACAGCTGGAGAGCAGTTTGTCTCAGGATGAATCATACCTTGAGTTTTACCCATATCTGATTTAGGTGATATTTAGATGAGACTTTAGACCTAGACTTTAAAGTTGATGCTAGAACCAGTTAAGACTTTTGGGGCTATTGGGATGGAATGAGTTTTGCATGCAAGATATAAATTTGAGGGAGTCAATGGCAGAATGTTATCTATAGACTGAATGTGTCCCCCCAAATTCATATGTCCTTAGTGTGATGATATTTGGAGGTGGGACCTCTGGGAGGTGATGAGGTCATGAGAGGATGAGTGCCCCCTATGAAAGAGATCCCAGAGAGCTCTCTTGCCTCCTCTGCTATGTGAGGACACAGCAGGAAGACCAGAAAAGGAGCCCTCCCAGGCATCAAATCCACTAGCTCTTTAATCTTAAACATCCCAGCTTCCAGAACTGTGAAAAATAAATTTACATTGTTCACCCCGTGTATGACGTTTTTGTTCTAGCAGCCGGAATGGACTATTTTCATTATTAAGTTACCAGTGTATTATTTATTACTGTTTGGAATTATCGCAGTTGTTAATCTTAATGGTTGAATCAATATCTACCAGTAGTTTTTGCTGTTGTTGCTCAAATAGACCATCATAGCTGAAAATATTTTATAAATCATCAATTTACTTTGCTGTCACTCTTCATTTTTCAAGTTATCCTGAAATAAATACATATACAGTAATACCTTGGTTTGTGTGTAACTCAGTTTGCAAGTGTTCTACAAGATGAGCAAACATTTCTAATACATTTTAACGTGGTAAATGAACAGTGTCTTGCAATGTGTGTACTTTGTTTCTGGAACAAATTATGCTCGCAAAACAAGCTATTACTGTATGTGTGTATGTATACACACACACACACACACACACACGGTGCCAAAAAAATGTATATACATTTTAAGAAAGGAAAAAACTGTATTAAAATTGTAATGCTCAATATATACCAATAACGAGTCACGTTTGACTTCTGCATTTACAAAGGTGCTCAAAGTGGTTACCATCAGCATAATTTTATTGCGGGTTTTTCCTTTCTTAAAATGTATATACATTTTTTTGGCATACTTTGTGTGTGTGTGTGTTTATTTGTGTGTGTGTGTGTGTGTGTGCGTGTGTCTATTTATTATATGAACCTTTTGAAAGGTTCACAAATAGATATTGCCCTCATCTTTCTTAAAGTATTTTTTTTAAAGATTTTTATTGGGGAATTGGGGGGTTGGGAACAGTGTTGGGGAATTGGGGGAAGGGGAACAGACAAGTTGCTGTTGTTTTTGTTCTTCAGTCTAGTTGTGGAGGATGTTGCTTCACTGGCCCAAGTTGGCACCATCATTGCGCTCTTCCTGGGCGAGGCAGATCAGTCGCCGGCTTCTGGACGGCCGCTCACTGTGGCTGCTGGCTGCTCACTGTGGCTGCTGGCTGCTCACTGTGGCTGCTGGCCACTCACGCTGACTGCTGGCTACACACGGTAGCCCATGGCAACCCACTGCCACAGGGACTGCAGCCTACGCCGTCGCCGGCGACTCACGGCAGCCCAGCTCCAGGTTGAGCTGTTGTTCAGCATCTTAGCTGTGGAGGGCAGTGTCACTGGCCCTCATATGTGGGATCCGAACCGGGGCCTTCTGGCATCCCAAGCGAGTTCTTAACCATCGCGCCACTCGGCCGGCCCTAAAGTATTTGTTTTGAGAAATGATAAAATGGTTTGTGCATTACTTTACAATGTTGAATCTAATAATTGAACAAAACCAAAAAGCATTCTATCTTGTTATAGGGTACCTCCTTGTCATAATGTTATTATGAGCTTTGCAATAGAGAGAGAGGTTAAAAATTTTTTTCCCCAAAATCAAAAATAGTTTTCTTTACTTGGAGAACATACATTTCAGGACAGTTCTCAAATGTAATCAATTTTATGCATTTTGGCTGCCAAGTCATTATTGTCCTTCACCCCGGAGAAGAAAGGATTCAGTGCTTTC